ACTATTAACAGTATTTTCGCGCAGCTCTTATTTTAGCGAATAATTTTGTATTTTCTTTGTCTTAGAATGCTCAAGATATTCATAATAGTCCTAAAGCCAACGTGCAGATTTGTGGCTTATTTTCTTATGGCTGAATTTATTATTAAATTATACTATAACACGTGTCCAACGAATTCACGAAAGCCGACGTTCAGACTGGGGCGCTTAGGTAGCTCATTCGACCATAAATGTCCACCTACAAGGAATATTAAACCCTCCACCAATTTAGTTGAGCCATTATTGTTGGATACGAAAAAGGGATCAATATTCTTATTGGACATTAATTCATTGAAAAGCTATCATGTTTATCTTGCTGTGATACAAGCGTCCAGTTTGGAAATTAAGTCACGCCTATGCCTACTTATGCACCCCATCAAAACGATGGAGAGAAAAAAATGGCCCAGGGAAATTGGTGGAGGAGGTGAATTTTGTGCACTTTTAAATTATGAGGTGTAGTTCAGCGAAATATTAGCAGATGCCGCCACCAAATATCACAAAAAGTCAGTTGGCCATTAAGTAATGTAATGTACAAGTGGTGTTGAGTTACCGTTTAAAACAAATTTGGATGAAATACTAAGGTATGTATTAAAATAATTCCTGAAAAATATTTGTGCTATGTTACTTTATTCGCCTGCACCATAATAACTGCAATTGCTATTATGATTGGTTTTATATTTGAGGATTATGTATTCTAATGATTCTCTTTTCTTTTGACATACACGTCTTTTCTTTTGTCGAAATATATTTTGGGGTATTATGCCTCACTGTTTCTGGGTAATATGCCACATGTAGCATATTACCCCATGTGTTTCTATTATTGACAAAGTTTGTTTACGTATGCAATATTGTCAGAATGCCTCGAAATTTAAGAGCCCAATGGACTGTGGACAACCTAAAAGCAGTCATTATGGCTTTGAGTGAGAAAAAGGGGTTCCATTAGAGAAATCGCACGCACCTAAACATACTGGTGCGTACATTAGTCAGGCGACAGAAGCTAAATAATGTAGAGAAAATAAAATTAGACAGAAAATGTATTTTGGGAGAAGAAAACGAAAATAAATTGGTGGGTGGCTTACATTAAAAAGCTAGAAGCGTGCAATTTTCCTACTACGACTCGTGATATACAAAAATTGGCTTATAATATTGTGGAAATAAATGATATATAACACAATTTTAACCGCAATAAAGAGGAGGCGGGTTACGATTGGATCGTTGCATTTTTAAAGAGGCATTCAAACATAAGTATAAGAAAGGCACAAGGACTATCCATAGCCCGTATGAAAGGAAAGAACAAGCAGGATTATTTTGAAGAAAGTTTTAACCGATAATAGGTTTATGAATTGTCCAAGGAAAATTTATAATACCGACGAAACCTGTCTGCTCTGTAACTAGCGCTGAAAAGGGGGAGAAAATTACTGTTTTAAGTTGTGTAAATGCAGATGGGAATTTTTTAACACTATTTTCTATTTTTAAAGGGAAAAACAAAACTAAAGAGTTTGAAGATGGTTTGCTACCAGGTGGTACAGTGCAAATGAGTGAAAAAAGTGCCTATGTAACAGCAGTTATTTTCCAAAAATGGCTTCAAGATATATTTGTTCCGAGGAAGGATAGCGGCAAAGTTCTTTTAATTCTTGATGGACATGCTACCCACATTTTAGATCCAGAAGTTCTAGATTATGGAACTAATAATGACACCCTTTTGTGTCTTCCTAGCCACACAACACATTTTTTACAGCCCCTGGATAGAGCATTTTTCAAACCTTTAAAAACATTTGGAGAGATATACTTGTGCGACATGGATACGAAACCATGAAGGAAAAAAATTACCAGGTACCAATTCCCTTCTTTGTTAAATATCGGTTAGTCTAAAGCTGCCACTGTCCAAAATGGCGTTTCAGGTTTTAAGGCTTGCGGTATTTATCCATTAGATGCATCTTGTTATTTTAGCTTATGCTTTTCGTTTTGATGAAACCCAAACAACTTCAATAATAGCAGGTTTATTGACTGCTAAATCAAATAGCCAAATCACTCAAAATCAAATATCAAACGATGAGGTTTCACCATCAACGAGACAGAAATACCTAGGGTAATCATTACTACTACTGCAGTTCATAACGATTAAATAGCTGGACCATATACTACTAGACCAACAAATATCGCTGCTATTTCAGATTCTTCCAAGAAAGAAAGAAAATTAACGTGTGGTTTTAACGAGATTCAAAAACTACCAACGATTGAAATTACTAAAAGAAATTCTCGCAAACAGAATGCCGAAATTGTTACGCCGAAAGAAAGAATTAAAAGGAGCTAATGGTCAAAGGAAAACAAGTAAAACTCAAAATGCTAAGGAAGATAAAAATAAGGCAATCAAGGTAAAAAGAAACACACAAAAAAAGAAGAAACCTAGGGAATCGTCAAGTTCTTCTGCTTCATCCATTAATATGAGTAAACGTTCAAGTAATGAAGATCTTCAGGTAGTAGACAAAGATGAATTTTGTAAAGAATGTAATGGACACTATTTGGACAAAAAAAGGCCCCAAGTGCGATTGGATACAATGTGTAAACTGTTTTTCTTGGTTGCATGAAATATGTACACATTTTGAAAAATACTGTTCATAGTAAATATTAATATTTACTCTTTTTTCTTTTGTTACCCTAATAATATTTGTTAAGTTTTCTGTGATTTGTATTATTAGTTAGGAATTATTAGAATACATTATGTTCAAGTTCTTTTTTTAACTTAATGCACATGTTGCAATATTACCCAGGCCAGTTTTGCGTTATTCCTAGGATATGGGGGAAAATGGCACAATTTAATTTTTTTTCAAGCAACATTTTTAAAACCGTATTTAACATATTCTTGTTGCTTGATTTTTGTTGTGTTAACTAAGCATAATACATTTCACTTTTTATATTTAGCATGCCTTAATGTAAAAAAATAAAAAGTTGGAATGAGTCAAATAAATTGTTGCCATATTCCCCCAGTGTACCTTAACTAATATTTGAAAATAAGCCAAAAATCAGTCATAAAAAAATAATTCACGTGCAAGCCAACTGACGTACTACTTTAAAACGTTGGAGAGAAAAATGGCCCAGCTAAATTGGTGGAGGGTTTAATATTTCTTGTAAGTGAAGACTTATCGAGCATAATAAAAATGTTAAGAAAATAAGTTTTCAAAAGGGCCGTACCACTTGTAATGTCTATAACTACCTAAGCGCCCCGGTCTGAACGTCGCGCTTTCGTGAAATCTTCATTAATAAAGTCATAATTTTGGGAAAGACCTAACAAAAAATTGAAAATTAACCAAAAATCAGCCATAGTCTCCTCACGCACAACCTTAAAATGGGTGAAGTTAATATTTCTTGTAGGTGGGTACTTATCGTCAAATGAGCATAACGAAAATATTAAGAAAATTTGTTTTTGAGAGGCACGTACGACTTGTAATGTCTATGCGCCCCAATTTTTCACGTTGGTTCTAGGACTATAAATACAATATGACAATAAATATAAGATACCGAAATTAAATGTATTTTTTTTTTTATTGGTGTCTTTGGCTTCTACAACTTAGGTCATTAGCCTCGTGTTCTATGTAGGTTATGGATTATGCCATTAAAAAAACTGGATAATGTCATGTCAGTTTGGTCTTTAAAGCTTTGCAATAAGTTCGTGAAAATGTTTTATTTGCATCCACTATATTCGCTGATACGGAAGCCTTAAAAATAATGAGCCACGTATCAATTACGTTAAGGTTAATAAGGCGCATAGTGAAGAAGTTTCAACGTACAAGAAGTGTTCTAGTCCAAAGGAAAGGAAGCTCTGGGCGCAATAATACAAACAACAGCAGGCTCCTGTACCAAATTGTGCAATCTCCAAAGAGGAGACTAAGAAAGACTGATGTTCAAATGAACCTAAATAGAAAAACTGCATGCCTAATTTCAACAGATATTGGTGCATTCTCGTACATATTATAACATAAATATTGCGGATAAGTGTAGAATATTGCATCCGTGTTCTAGCCACGCAATATGAGGACGACGAGTTTCTGACAAGTATATGGTTTTCTTACGAATCACATGTCTCATTATCAGGACAGGTTAACAGACAGTCATACAGATTTCTTGGATTCGAAAAATTACAAAAAAATCTAGAGGCACCTTTTCACGATGAACAAGAAACTGTTTGGTGTGCAGTTTCTGTACACGAAGTTTTGGGTCCTTACACAATGAAACAGAATTAAAAAAGATATAGGCAACATATTAAATTATTTGTTAGAGACCTAAAACACTTTTGCAGAGCTGGGAGCTTGCATTATGGAAAACCGTGGTTTAAGCAAAACATGCCACTCTTGAGATGTTCCTCCTTAAGTGCTCGCTCGGGGAAACTAAGTATTCCGTTCTAAGTAAAATAAGTTGGGTGGACAAAGTATTCCTCTGTACTACTTACGTAAGAAAAATTGACACGCCTACTTCAGGATTAAGACAAAATTTCGCTTACCGGATAATATCCAGAAAAACTGACTTCGTTTATCCACCATATAGCCCCGACTTATCACACCCTGATGTTTATATCAGGAAATGATTAAAAATAGCATTTTCATCGGAATTTCTCCAAAAACAATAGAACAAATTTCCAAAATTTACGTGAGCCTCTATTTAGAGAAATAGTATCCAATCTTCAGCAATGCTTGGAATTATGCTGGCAACAGGTGGTTGTCATGTGGAGCATAATATCATACATGAATAATTATTTCCTTTGTAAACGATATACACAATTCTAGTTTGACATTTTAATAATAAATTAATTTTTGAGTTTCGGTATTCTTTATTTTTAATTGTCATACTCTATTACGAAATGAGAACATTAACTCGAATACAGGCATATTTATATTATCTAAAACTATGCGATTTACTTATTTTTTAATCTACAAATTAAAAAAAATAGTAAGAAAAAGTCTACGTACCAGAAGTTCTACAGCTTTGTCTTTCAACTGAAAATAAGTAAACATAGTTTTAGATAATAATATTTAATAAATACAGAAATTTATATTTACAATAAATAGCTTTTTATTTAAAAAATATAATTTGAATAAGTGTATCTACTATTCAAATAAACCAATTTGGTTACAAAATAATTTTCGGCTCGAAGGATCAAATAAAAAGATGTACTTACACTTGAAATAGAAATTCTTCAGTTACAGGACAAAATTTAAAATGCTGTGTAGCAGTAAATGGCTTAATTTTGTAATGAAATTACGATTTTTTTTTATTTTAATCAAGTATAATGTACAGCTAAAGATTGATTTTGATTGGTTTCTTTGAAAATATGATCCTGAAAAGAATATTGCTAATGATATTATTATTTAGATAAATTTTTATCTACTTTAAGTTTTCCGCTGTTATAAATTCATGTTGCTATCTTGAAGGCAAGAATCCTTTTCACCGTTTCATTTTTGTAATACTTCCTGTGCCTATATAATGATACTAATAAAATATATTTATTTCCTTCTTAAGTATTCAAATAAAAATATGTATTTACTATTTTATTAATTGGACTCTCCTAAGTTTTTCAATATCGTGGGTACTTAATGAATCAGTTTATGTCATTAATAATAAAAACCGATAGAGAAAAATATACTTGTTTCTATTTTTTAATGCCCATAAAATTTTCGGTTTAACCTTCTCTGTGTTTCGGAATTTCTCGATGAAAGCTGAAGAAGACGGTCTTTTATGTAAATTTTGACTTTGGAATTATTAGCATAAATAAGGTGAATATGTTTGTTTATAATATTTGATTGGAGGTACAAAAGATCTACATTTCTAAAATCATCAATAAAGTACAATGAGGAGCTACTCTGCCTCGTGGTTAGAGCAATTGTTCTGCAAAATAGTACCTACATAATTTGAGATGTAATTAGATTGATTTAATATATTTAATTAGGCATCCTAGAGTTTCATATGTATGAATTGTTATATAATTGTCTTCAATATAAAAATATTTTATATGTAAAGCGTAATATGAACGTTTCGACATCTAGGAGAATGTGATTAAGACAACGTCTAGATTTTCTAGTTCAATAGTTCTATCTACACAAACAAATTATTTTAGTTATCATCATTATCTGATAACTCGTCTTGATTAATTATTATTTATTGGTAATGTGTGATTGTATTTTGGAATTAACTTTTCTATTTGATCCAAGTTAATACTTCTGTTACAAGGAACTGATTATATATTACTGATAATATAATTTCGTCATGAGTACAATTTAAAATCAGTTGAATAATAAGTGTCTATTAAAGCATATTTTAAATTTTTTGAAACCATATCTTTTATATATACGTTAGGTGGCTTTTTTGTAATTTGTTTTCAAGAGCAAATATCTACAAACATTGTTGAGGTTAACATCTATTTACTTTTGATAAATTGGCTTGAGCTGAAAAACAAGCTTGCGAGTAAAGTCATTACAGTCACAAATTCTAGAATTTATTTTAGGGGTTATTAGTTCCATCTGGTGAAAAAATGAGCCATGTCCTGGTTAAAAAAAGTATCAGTGTTGTTCATTTTATTAGATACATAAAAAAATAAACAGAGCCCAGTTTTTGTTCTGACTAGAACCAAAACTTCTGTGCGTTGTATCTATCTCTCTGTTCGCAAGACAAAATGCACATATTTCGTCGTTGGAAAGACAAGAAGGTGTAACTCCATTTTAGCAATTTTTCAGGATCTGCAATTAAATTTGTGGTATATTATAGTGCTTTGCTTATGCAGCTGTCCACATAGTATTTACCATAATATGTTAAATATAAGGAGGAGAGATACGCCCCTTTTTCACATCATATATATCCACTTCAACAGATTATTTGTGGTGGTCTTAAGTCAAATTGTGCATTTTTCGACTTACGTCCCTTTCCCTTTCCAGGACTAATTATTATATGAGCTTTTGATAGGTCTGTTATGGCTTCGTGCCATATTATGGCCCAAGAAAGGATGTATTTTGTTTTTATAGCCCATGAGAGTATAAAATGTAATCATATGTAAATAACTTATTTGAAATATAAACTTATATTATTTTTGAATGCGAGACCGAGTCAGAAAACAGAGGCAAGTGACCACGTTAGGCGACCGAAATGTGTCTCTTTCGTCTGAATCATATGTAATTAAATAAAGCACATTTAGAACAGCGCGACCGATTCAAGAGACTCGACAGCACTTTTAACACGGCAGTGTTTGCTGTCTTGTTGCCTGTCGCTTGCATCAATCTCAAATTTCCAAATTGTACCTTTAAGAGATTTATTTCGGACTGTGCGACATGTAGCCCTGCTTCCTCTCCAAAATCGACCTTCTCAATTTCTTATTTATTTATTTAGTAAACGTCGGCCTATTTCTAACTACTAGGTTTAAACACCGATGCTGGTGAGCAAATACCAGAAATTTAGCCAAATCCTCTGGTGTTCCACCTAGAGGTAGGGATCTTTAACAAGCTCAACATCCATGGACTCGGAACTGACGACTTTACATCTGCTCCGAAAGATAATACATCCCACACTATACTTCTTACTCATTGATATAGCACTTGTTAGTTATAGTATGCGACTATGCGAGCAGTTTGTTTAAGCCTTTATAGGTACGCCGACTGTCTTTGGAGAATCACACAGTCAGACATCAAGTACTAATTGCGGGAGACCCTGCTTGACTGCAGATATCGATACACAAAAGTGAACCTGCTTTGTGTATATTCTGATGGCTATCTTTGTGACACTACGGAAGAGTTCTAGGTCTAAAAGAGCCTAAATTTAAAAAAATATTTAATCTATGCAAGAAGAGGATTTTAATTAAGCTACAAACGAACTTTTCAGAAAAGAAAATTATTGCAGGAACTCAGCAATTGCACAGTGTGATACCAGACACATATGGTTGCATGTAAATTATGTAAATGACCAAGAAAAATTACATAAATTGTTTGTAACAGTAATATGAAAAACTGGAATGATTATTCATTGTATTATTCTTGTAATGATAAACGTAGGTAACCATTAATCAGTTAGATTGCGAAAAAAAAAAATGCCAAGCCAGCTCTCTCTGGGTTTTAGCGTCATTAACTACAGAATAAGAAAAAGGGGACATTAAAAAATTAATAGTCAGCCAAATCGAAAGTGGTGGGATTCAAAAGTGGTCGATTTGGAATGCTCTTGTTACAATTTTTATAAGACAAGTTTTACTGCACAAGTCTAAATAATATTCTAAAAAGTGCCATAATTATTATGGAACGAGTTCTTTTATAGTAATGTTTCTCTTTTTATCGGCCTTTTCCAAAATCCCTTTATATTTTTTTAATTTTCTTTCAGAAAACTGTTTAAAATTCCCCACATGTACGTGTCGTGATTCAGACCACTTTGAAAAGAAAGGAAACAGTTGCTGCGTCCCCTTTTAAGATTTTTATTACCTCCAACAGTGGCTTAACACGATACAATTTGAATTGTCTACGGGAGCCCCTCTCGCCGCGCGTCGCGCCCCTCCTCACACACACATCCTCATAAACAATTCAACATTGGCAGAACACCGAGCGACCAATTACAAAATCTAGAAATTACCATAGTAAATTTGTCAACAGTTTTGTTGTAGTAGGGGAGCTTCCGGTCGAATGTCGACTTGTTTAGCTAACTAGATGGTTAAGTTGCAAAACAGGATTGGATTTGCACGATTCAAGCGTTTTAAATTGACATCGATATTTTTTTGTCAGCATATTGATACACCATAATGATATCTCGCAATTGGCTGTCGACGGTTCGAGGAAAATAAACTTGGCAAAAAGATTTGTGTTTCTTGCAAAATTATATATTTATTTATTTTAATTGCATAACGCCATAACCAGTGCTCATCTACACAAATTGTGGGTGTAAACATAAAAATATGTAAATGGATTAATTTTAAGGTTAAAAAATTAGAAATTATAGAGAAATCCAGTGTTGGAGGCAATAATTAAGGCATGAACCCTTAATCGTTCAAATAGAACCTCAAGAAGCATACGTTTGTGCAGAGATAAGGGGGACCCCAATCATTTTGTCCCAATAGGATTTTTTTAACAGTTAAAAGACAAGTTACAACTAAAAAAGGGTGAATATGTGATGAATATAATTGAAATTTGGTTTGAATTTAAAGGAAAATTTAAAAATTAATATTAAAAATACGTACAGTCACCACAAAAGTTTAGCCGTCATCGTTCTTAATAATATTTAAATTTTGGAAAGTACCACCTTGCTAAATTGTTATTTTTATTGAGATTTTTATTCTGAAATTCTAAATAAACTCAATTTATTTAATTTTCTCGCTTCTACGTGTTTAGGCGGTTAAAGTGACAATAGTGACAGGTGACACCTGTCAGTGCTGATATGACAAATGTCAAAAGAGAAAGGTGCGTTCTTTCGCCGGTGTAAGTAAAGTTACTCCAGGTGAGAGCGGAGATGGAAAAATAAATTATTCTAATTATTATATTATTTTAATTATCTGAAGGAGTAAGAAGTTATTTAGTGTTAGAACATAATATGTGCATATTGCAGATGTAGATAACCAAATACGGAGTTCCCAAGGAATCGTGTTAGGTGCATACTTTTCATCATTTATTTAAATGATTTATTTTATAAAAATATATTTGCAATGCATAATTTATGGGTACTTTAGCCTCTCAATTCATTAATAACAGACCAAGTTTCCCTTCCCCTATTATTTGAGCTCTCAATTTTTTCTAATACGCATTCTATATAAAGTTCTGTAGCGATAATAGTACTTAGAAGATAATTCTGTTCGATTAAATTTTTTTTATATAATTGAGAGATCTCGTATTTTTTTATGAACATCTTAAACCAGCTGTAATCCACGGCTTTTTTGTTTAATTTTTATTTTTTGAATAGGAAAAGAGGCATTAAAAAAAGTTGCTTAAAATTAAATAAAAATCTTTAGAAGGAGATATACCAGAAAAGCAATTGTACC